TACTCCATCATCTCCTTCCTCCTTGTCAAAGCACTGAATAGTCAGATTTGCCTCATTTCAGAGAGGCTTTTTTGCAGCTGCAGGGGCCTCCTGCAGGTGTTCCAGCCTTGGAGAGCTCGGGATTTTCCTGGTAAGTGACTGGAACTGCAGGATGCAAGCAGTGCTATCAGGTAACCTTTCACTAATCAGATTTATCAAGTCCCAAGTCAGCTGCCTGGCTGCCCCCTCGCCCCTGCCTGGCAGTTTGCATTGCTCTTAATGATGAAAAGCCCTTCTTCAGATTCCCAGTTTGTTTTTTCATGGCACCTGGAGGGAGCTCCTGTTTCCTTCCCCGCTCTGTGAGATGGAAGAGCAGGATTCTGCTTCCCCCTCCCTCCAGTGAGCCCCAGTGCTGGGCCCGTGTGAGCTGGGACACTCCCAGGCTGCAGCAGAATCCCTTTGCCTCTGCTCCCTTTTTGGTGTTAATCCCTGAAGTTTTGGAGCAAATTTGGGTGTTTTACCACTCCAGCCCTCGAGCAGTGCATTGGGGAGTGTGCTGGAGCATCCTGGTGGGAATCAGGAGCAGGGCTGGCCTCGTGTTTGCTCTGAGGAAGGAGCTGCTTGTGGAGTGTTTCAGCGTGGCAGAAACAAAGCTGTTGCTCTTTTGTGGCTGCTAAATTCCAATGTATTACAACAGCTTCCTTCCCTAAAAAAAAAAAAAAATAATGAAAAAAAGAAACAGAAATGCTTTTTTTTTTTGGCCTTTTCCTGCATTTTTGTTCTTACTGGCTGCCTTTGGCTGGCCTGAGAGTCCTGTTTGTGTCCTGACAGGGCGATGGGATAATGGAACAAATACTTGAGAGTGACTGGGATGACAGTGGTGGGGATGGAGGAGTAAACAATGATGTAGCAGTTCTGGGCCTGGGGGGTCACATCCAGTTCATACCATATGTCTGCATATTTTTTTTTTTTCCGGGGTAATTTTCACTTAGTTTGTAGGAGACATTTGGCTTCCTGTCCTGGCTTGGTTGGCCCTTTCCCTGCCATCTCCTTTGCTCCAGGACACCCAGGGGAGGCCAGAAAGTGGTTGGCAGAGGCACTTGTGTTCAAACCTCCACTTTTAGGAAAATGAAAACACCACTGACATCCCCAAAAACCCTGCAAACCCTTGCAAAACGTTCTGTTACAAAAGCTGCTGCTGGAATAGTTGAACTCCCAAGTGAGCCAGGCAGAGCAGCTGCTATCACTGTGGATTATACCTTTCCTCTCAACCTCAGCCTTCATTTCCTCTCCCCGCCTTCCTGGGAGGAACAGCTGTGCTTTTGGATCCTCTGCTGCTCTTGGAGCAGGGCTTGGAACTGCAGGAAATAAGTGACTTTAGAAATCTGGCTCCAGGGCCTTTCTTCCTGAGTGTGACAGAGGGAGGAACACGAGGGCTCCTCTCTCTTTCTCCGGGATAAAGGAGGCTGTGGAGTCTCCTCCCTTAGCTGGGGTGGGGGTGAAGGAGCTGCCTGTGCTCCTTCCATCCCAGAATTCCCCCCCTGTGCCACCTTCCCTTCCTCCTTGCCATGGATGGGTGATTATTCCCAGAGAAAAGCCCAGTGTCACTCAGGGAGGAACAGGGATTTCACAGCTCCCTTCTTTTTATCTCCTCACCTCTGGAATTCCAGAGATGTTTTATCTCCCTCTGTGCTCAGAATTGGTGTCTTTTATCAAAGAACTTGAACTGCAACTTCCTGATATTGTGCCTTTTTCCTTTGGCAGAGGAGCATTAAATACCCTGGAAGGCACTGTGGGTTTACACCATAAGGATTATTTCCCCCATTTCAGGGTGTTTTCTGGATTGAAGATAAAACTGTTATATACAATCTACACAATCTATACAATAATACACTTATAGAATTATATATATTATATAATTATATAATACATATAATTATATATATATTATATATATAATTATATATATTATATAATTATCTAAGATGCACCTGCTTGGGTGAAAGGGAAAGTATTGATGTTATTGCATTGCCCAGTGTTAACTTTTAATGACTTGGAAAATTAAAATAGAAGGCTCAAGTTGCAAATCCATCTCTTTGTTCAACTGGGTGCATGGGAGTTTTAATCAGTAAAATGTAAATAGTGGAAGTGTTTTTAATTATTTGCAGTAAATGGTCAAAACCAGGGCAAAAGTGTAAAAACAATCAGCATTCACTTATCAGCTGTAAAAGCATTATATAGATTAAAAAGTCAGGCATTCCAAAAGTCCTCATTCATCTCCTCTCTGTGAGCAGCAGGATATCTTTAATTAATTTATCACATAGCTCCAAAACTGCATCCTCTGCTTGTGAAACTTGTTCTCTGCTCATAACTCCGTGTCTCCTCATTATTGATCCTCATTTTAAGCCCATCTTTAATAAGATTGTGTCTGAAAACCTGCTGTAATTAATGAACTTGTGGCCAACACTGAGATTTTCCTTTCCTTGCCTTACTGGGATTCTCTCTCTTATTGATTTGTGATTCCTTCCTCGTTTAATTAAACAAACCCAGACAGTTTTCGTGGTGGTTTAACACATGAGCAGTTATTTTAATGTATATTAATTTTAGGAACTGTTGGAGTAGCGAGTGCCCAGCATTTAAAATTCACATTTTGGCATGAACTTTGGAATATTAACAGGGAAGGGTTCACTTGAGGGGAAGGAGGAGCCAAACTCCTGGTTGTCAGAGTTTCTAACTGTTGGAGAATTTTTGGCAACTTAAAGAACTATTTTAAGTGACAGTTACAGGGTTAATGAGGTGATTTGTGGCTCGAGGCTGCCTCACCACTAAATCAAAATTATGTGATTCATTAGGTCCATGTGAAGGTCCCTTTTTTCTTTTTTTTTTAAGGCTCTGTTTGCTTTTCTTATCAACGTGAGGACTGTGAATGGGGAGAGAAGAAAACAATTCCCCAGGGATTCCACCAGCAAGTGCCTCGTCCTGAGGGTTTGTTTGACTTGGTGTTTGGTTTCACCTCTCAGAAGGAACCCAGACCAGGGGTTTGGGGAGGCACAGCTTGGCCTGGGGTGTTCCTGTTCAGTGTAACATCAAAAATTCCCCTTCTGAGATCAATCCCAACCCATTTCAAAACTCCAGGCATGAGGATTCCTGTCTGTGGCAGGTCCTGCCCCTGTGGGTGCTCGGGGTGAAAACCTCCCTGAGAATTTCCAGGCAGTGTCCAAGTGTGGGGGGAAAACTTTGAACTGATTAGAACAACAGGATTTACCTTTAATGCAGCCTCTGAAACTTCCAGTTAATCCTTTAAACGGAATTTAATTCCCAATTAAGCTGGAATAATACTTTTCTGATGTTAATCTGACGCTGGGTGTGCTGAGGGGAGAGGGTTTGGTGAGGGGAAAAGGTAAAATTCAGAAGAAAAGCTTGGTGTGGAAACTGCAAGGCAGCAAAAGAACCCTTATCACCGAAATCTGGCTTCCTGTAGTCATCAGGTATCTGGGGTTCTATCAAACGGACACTCCACCCTTTCATTATGATGGGAATCCAATTTTGAAGCATTTTAAAAAGAGACATTTGTAGTGGCTTTGGGTTGACTTACCAAATTTTCCACCTGAGTTCTGGCCACAGGTTTTGTAAATTGGCCCAGAATCCTTTTGTGAAGAATTTCTCTGAGTTGAAGTGTTGAGTTTTTTTAATAAATTCTCCCTTTGGTTCCCATCTGCGTGTTTTGGACGCTCAGAAAGGCTGGAGGAAAGCTGGGTTTGGATTTAGGGATGTGTTCCTTTCTTGTGTTTTTTATTTTTTTAAATTGTATAACTTGAATCTCTCCCTACCAACACATCTGTGTGTCCAGCAAACCTGAACCCAAAGGGAAAAATTGAGGTGGTTATACAAATGCTCACATAAAAGATTTTTAATGGTTAAATTGGATTTTAAAGAAAAAAAAATGAGGATTTTGAGTAAGAGAAACGCCGGTGGAGGGAGAATCACAGATTCAGTTTGGATCTGTCGTTTGGGAAACATTTTTTTCTGAACAAGAAAGCCAAGCAGAAATCAAGTGGTTTAACAAGCAAAAGCTGTTTCCTTACCAAAAGCTTCCTTGGGAAAGGGCTGGAATATTTAGCAGCATTTTCAGCTGTCAAGGAGCTGTTTTCTTGGCCACGTAACCCAGAAATGGCAGAGCTGTGATGCAGAGTCACCGAGTTCTCATGGTTCAAGAAATTAATAAACCTGGAGAACACTAAGTAATTCCTTATCACCCTCCAGTATCTGAATTCACAGGGAATCCAAGTTGCACTGATTGAATCCAACCCCAGGAGAGAGCAGGGGAGTCCTCGGGAGGCTCGTTAACATTTGGAGAGGAACCGGAATTTTTCTGTTCGGAAAAGGCTTTTTTTTTGGTTGATTTTCTTTGAAAATCAACCCCTTCCTAAACCCTCCAGTTGTGCAGTGACTGGATCCATCTCACGAGGTGGTTGGAGAGGAGAATGAAGGGTCACTTCAGTCACAACATCTTGTTTTCCTGGCGGTGGGAAACCCTGGAAAAGTTTGCCCGGAGAAGCTGCGGCCGCCCCACCCCTGGGGTTGCCCAAGGAGCAACCTCCTCTAGTGAGGGTGGTTGATCTTTAAGGTCCTTCCAACCCAAGCCCTTCTTGGGTGGTGTGATTTCCAGAGCTGCTTTCCCCCGTGCTCAGCTCCCTCCCATCACATCAAAGCACCACCACGAGATCTGGACTCTCTTTTTTCGCTGAGAAAGGCAAACACGAACTGATTTGCCTCGAGGTTTCCTGTCAGAGTGACAGGAGGGGCTCTGTAACATTTAAAAATGCCTTTTTTTTTTCTTTTTTTGGTGTTTTTTTTTTTCCCCAGAAGTTGCTCAGGACACCTCACACTTGATCTTCCCAGATTGCAAGTGGCAGTTGTTGATGGGCTCCAATAAGCGGCTCCTGGAAGGCAGGAGAGGAGCAAACACACCCCCCCTGGCCCCGGTGTCGTGATGGATGAGAGCAATAACAGCCATCAGCTCTCTGGGTTCTGGCACACAACCCCCCCAGTGTTTATGGGAGGGAGAGTTGCTAAAATTGATGGGCCAGCAGAGCCATTTCCCGGGCTCCTCTCGGTTCCCCGGCCCTCTTGTTCCCTCATTTCCAAGTTAAAGTGCAGCAGGAAGACAAATGGTCGTGACCTCCCCTGTCCTGGGGTGCTTTGAGGTGGGTACAGAGCGAGGGGAAGCCAAAATATTAAAAAAACATCAAGCCCCCCCCTTCCTCCCCGGGTGCCTTTCAGAGCTGCTTGAAAGGAAACCAACACCTGTTGAAATAGTTACTTCAACGTTTGGCCCAAATCCCAAACAAGCCTTTTTTTTGTTGTTTTTTTTTTTTTTTTGACAACAAAAACATATGCAGGGGCCAGGGAAAAAGCACAGCTAGTTCTGATATTGTGCTTTTTGTGCTCTGCAGCTCCGAGCTGGAGGGGCTGTGACTCATTCAGTGAGACCAGCACAGTGTTTCTCTTCCTTCCACGTCTCGCTGGCTTGGATTTGTGTGGCAAATCCACACTGAAAGCACTGAGGGGGGGCTTTTCCTGCTCCTGAGGTGGGATGTTCCTGAGCCACTTGGGATACTTCACACTGGGAATGTTTCCTAAGGCTTGGGGCTGAGGGGGAAAGCAGCTCTGAAAATCACACCAGCCAAGAAGGGCTTGGGTTGGAGGGACCTTGAAGATCTGCCCTCTTGGGAAGGAAAAAACCCATCAGCCACTTAGTGACTGGTGTCCTGCTTGAATAGTTGAGGCTTTTGAGAGCTCCTGGTCATGGCTGGACATGATCTTGGGAGTGTTTTCCAACCTGAATAATTCTGTGGTCCATGGAGAGGTTTCATCTCCACGAGTCATCTCCTAAATTGGGGATCAGTTCAGTCCCTCAGCTGGAGCAGAGATTGGAACTGTCTGTGTAGCTGGAAATTGGTGTCTTCCAGGGAGAATTCTGGGAATAAAAGGGTGTTTGAGTTTTCTAGGGAGAGTTTGAACATCAGAGAAATGTGTGCACTGTTGTCCACCTGTAACTTAGTGACACTTTGCAGACCATCGCCTTCATTTCCATGTTTCCCTGTCCAGTGAGGAACTCCTGGTGGTTTGTTTTTCCTTTGGGGTTTTCTTTGAAAGCCTCTCTGCCTTTTCTTTGCAGACCTGTCTCTGCCCTTTCTCCAGGGCTTTTCCTGGAGCAAGAAAGCAGAGCAGTGTGGAGGAGGTTTACCATTCCCTGGGATCCACACTCGAATGTGTGTTGGTTAGGGATGGCTTCCCTTCTCAGTTGTGTCAGTTCAAACAGTTCCAATCATATTTTCCCTCCTCCTTTTTTTTTTTCTTTTCAGCTACAGCTGCAGAAAACCCAATATTTGCAACTGGGCCAGAGTCGTGGCCAGTACTACGGTGGCTCTCTGCCAAATGTGAATCAGATTGGAAACAGTGCCATGGATCTCCCCTTCCAGGTGAGTCCAGGGGGTGTTCCTTTGGATATGTGGATTCATTCCCTGCCTGGATGCTGGGTCAGAACCCTCAGCACAGCCCCCTGGTTTGAGAACTCTTTGCTCCTTTGGCAGATGGGATTGTGTGGATGTTTCTGTGTGGGGTTGGGAGGCTTTTGGGTCAGGAATGCTCTGAGTGATGCAATTCCTTTGGTCAGGGAATATTCAGGGGGCGTGGGGTGGGGTGTTTTTCTTCAGTACCAAATTCCTGAGGAAATCTCTGTAAATTCAAGCAAACTGGGAGCAAGTTCAGGTGATGTGGAGCCTGCTGGGAGCTGCTGGTGGGGTGTGTGTTCCCTGGGAGTGATCCTGGGACAGGAGAAGGGCAGTGGGACACAAAGTGGTAGCAGAACAGTCCTTTTTTTTGGGGCTGGCTGAGGAGGAAACTTTGAGGTGTCCTGGCTGTCTTTGTGACTCCAGAGTGACTCCACAAACAGAAAATCAGTGTTTTAGGTGAACATTTTGCTGTTTGAAGCACGTCTGGACAGGAGATGTTGTACATGGATCAGGTGGTGGGTCCTCTGAGCAGTGATTTCTATAATTAGTTCATTCAGGGTGCTCAAAATAATTAACATTTCTGCGTCACTTTTCCTTTTTTGAGCAGTAACAGTTACAGTTCAGCTCACAAGGATGTGGCAAGAAGGAAATCTTGCAGTTTGTGGTTTTCTGATGAAGGGCTGGTTAATAAATGTGGAGAAACTCGCTGACCTGCCTGTTGAAATAGGTGGAGACAACTGAATTTGGGCAGGTTGACAGCTTGAACCTTGTGCAGGAGGAGAAGCAAAAACCTGTTTTAATCTGGTTGCCTTTTGGGAATACAGTGGGTTTGGAGTGGAGTGAAGTCCTTGGGGTTACTCCACATCTCTCTTCCAAGATTTTCCCTTTAACTCCTTGTTAGGGAGGTTCAGAGCTCCTGTTCCTTTTAAGCAACAGTATTTCAGTATTTCTGAAATAGCATTTCAGTGCTTTTCTGGTGGTTACTGCATAGACTGTTTTACTCCTGAACTGACAAAGGGAATATCCCCAAATTTCCCAATGACTGGAGGAGGACACACAAACAAAACTCCAGGGGTTTGTAGATTTTTTTTACACACACACATAGAAAAAATACAAAACTCCAGGAGTTTATAGATTTTTTTCACACACACATAGAAAAAATACAAAACTCCAGGGGTTTAGAGATTTTTTTTACACACATAGAAAAAATACAAAACTCCAGGGATTTAGGGATTTTTCACACACACACATAGAAAAAATACAAAACTCCAGGGGTTTAGAGATTTTTTTCACACACACACACACATAGAAAAAATACAAAACTCCAGGGGTATAGAGATTTTTTTTTTTCACACACACGCACACATAGAAAAATACAAAACTCCAGGGATTTAGGGATTTTTCACACACACACATAGAAAAAATACAAAACTCCAGGGGTTTATAGATTTTTTTCACACACACATAGAAAAAAATACAAAACTCCAGGGGTTTATAGATTTTTTTTTCACACACACAGATATATAGAAAGAATACCAAACTCCAAGGATTTATAGACTTTTCACACGCACACACACAGAGAAAAAAATCCAAAATTTATGTTGTCCCTGATAACAAACAGTGAGAAGCAACAAAACCAACCATGAGTGGTGAGTTCTTCCCGGGCTTTTCCCCAAACGTGAAGTTAAAAACACTGGAGATTTTTTTTTCTATTATTTTTTTAAGTTAAAAAGAAGAATTCCGAGGCGAAGAGCCTGAGAGCGGTTTGTTGTGTCTGCTGTGGGAGCGTTGGTGTCTGAGCATGTTGGTTCTTTGATTTACAGCCCAACGGAGCTCTGGCAGAAGCCTTTGGAGCAGTTCCTGTCTCTTTGGTAAACAAGCATTTAGGTTTGTGCAAATACGTATTTAGGACTGGCCCTGTTTGCCCAGGTGGATACGTATTTCAGCACAGCCCCACTGCCCTGCACAGCATCTCTCTCTGGCAGGAGCCCTGCCCTGGCACCCCAGTCTGGGGTCTGGCCGTGCATCCCAGTCTGGAACATGCATCAGAATTCCCAGCTGGGCTCCCTCCCTGGCCTTGCTGCCCTGGGATTGATTCCCTGTGATTGATTCCCTGGGATTCCCTTGGGGCACACAGGCTTGGCCTGGGGGTTCAGCGAGCTCTGAGCATGTGCATGTGTGAAAGGCCGTGGGGAATGAGTTCCCAAATCCTGCTTGGCACTGGGAGGCTCTGGAATATGAACTGTTGTAGGTCCCCCCGCTCCTCCTTCCCCCTCATCCACCTCCTTGGGTCCATTCCTGAAGTCCTGATCAATCCCAAAAGGACACTGTTGTAGAGCTCGGAGCTTTTTCCTTCCTGTCTGTATTTACCTGCTTTTTTTGGATGGTTTGTGGGGTTTTGGGGTCTGGTCTCAAACCCTTTAATGTTTTCCAGGGAAGTGAAACACTTCTGCTTCTTCATGTTCCCAATAAAATCGATGCTCAGATCTGTTTTTTGTTTTTGTTTATTTTTTTTTTTTAAATCCACTTTTTAAATTACAGTTAAACATCTCTTGCCCTGCTGGGGTTGGGATTTTAATCAGGGAACGTTGTCCTGGTTTAGGACAGTTTTATGGGAAGCCAGACCTGTTGCAGGTGACATCCAGAAGTGTTTTCTGTTTCCCTGAGTCAGGGATTCACTTGGGATCTTTGCTCCTGGAAAGCCAGAGGGCACCACTGCCCCCAGGTTCCTCACCCTATAAACTGTAGCTGGAACACACTCCATGTTTATTTATTCCACTGCTGCACTCAAATGAGACTTTTGCTGGGTTTTTAATAAGGAGGTTGTGCCAAAAAAAAAGGCAAAACACAAGAAATAACTATTTTTACCTTCAATTTTTTGTCTCCTGTGCATTGGCTTCCTTTTAAATTCCAGGTGAGGGCTGCATTCCGTGTGCTTTGGGCTGCCTGCTCCTTTTTTTAGCAGCACCGTGGTGAGACCACTGACAAGGAAATTGCTTTTCCTGTTGACCTTCCAAGCACGTCTTTGCAAATTTTGCTGCCTTTTGGGCTCGCAGGGCTGTGGCAACAGTGCAAGGAGGAGCTGGAGACCTTTTGTTGGCTTGGGATTAGAAATATTCCCAGTTCTGTGCGGGGACAGAACTAGATTAAACCACTGTGTTTTTATTTGGAATGACTTAAAAAATTGAGATTCCGCTCGAGATTTCTCGGCCTTCGTACGAGAAAGCGAAAAGTCTGATCCTGAGGGCTGAGAGTGCTTTAAAAACTCACTGTGCTCCTTTCCAGCCCCAGGTTGACTTAAATATTCTGCTGCACAGAAAGTGTTGGCCTTGAAATGAAAAAATAAACACCACAACCGCTCTGCATCCCTTTCTGTTAACACAGGCTGTGTGTGCAGAGAGGGTGAGGAGAAAAAGGGTTCAGAGGAGCAGAAAGGCTCGTTAAGAAGTTGATCCAAACAAAGCTTTTAAAAATAAATGTAAAGCTTTTTTGGAAAAGAATCGTTTCAAACAGCCAAAGCTGACACTTGGAATAAAAAAAAAAAAAAAAAAAAAAAGAAAAAAAAAACAAAACCAGAAGAGCTGAATGTGGGAGCCAGATGGTTCCATGGCTTGGCAGACAGGACAGTGCATTTGCCACATGCAGCACCTGAATGGAGGAGGAGGAAATTTTGGATTTCCAAACAGATGGTGTTGAGGGACTCAGCAAAGCTGTTCACATTGGCAAGGAGTGGAAAACTGGGGAGGTTTGTTTTTTTTTTCCCCCCTCAGAGACCCATAAATTGCCGGTGGAGGACGAGCGCAGATCGACCCCTCGGTACTTCCTTTGCCCCCCTCCCCCAGGTATATGCAGGGAAGGGCTTTGGAAAATGTGGGAGTTTTCCAGTTTAACCTGGGAATTCATCTTCCCCTGTCCTTTCTCTGCTCTCCTCATCCTCTGAAATATTTGCTGGCAGGTCTCCACTGATAAGAGCCCAGGTGGGACCGTCCCACCCCGGGTCCCGGAGGGAGCCGAGAGTCACCTCGGAAATACCAGACACCGTCACTTTTTTCTAGACAGAGGAGGAAGGAAACTGCTTTTCTTTTAATTTTCATTCTCTCAGTGTCCCCTTCAAATAATTCCCAGAGGGAGGGGTGAAAGGAAGCCCCGAGAGCAGGCGGCGCGTTCGGAATGTCGGACTCGCCGCGCGTCTCCTTCCTGCGTCTCCTGCCCGTGGGGTCGGCATGTTCCTTCTGGATGCACCCTGCATGCTGCACCCAGGGCATGTGGACACAGCTGGCAGCCCCCTGCCACCCTCACACGGGGGGGTTTTAGGGATAGGGAGGCGTGAGAGCTGATCTAGGAGAGGGCAGGTCCAGCATGGTCCCCCTCTGGAAGGACAGCCTTGGGCATCCTTCCAACCACGGAGGGGAACGTTGCCGTGATGACACTTGTCCAAATCTTGTGTGAGTGTGATTCCTCAGAACATCACAGCCTTGCACACACCCCGAGTGGGTTCTGGGCAGCCTGTGTGTGGATTTTCCCATTCCTGACTTGCTGTGTCTCCCCCAGACTCCGTTCCAGTCGTCGGGGTTGGACACGAGCAGGACGACCCGGCACCATGGGCTGGTGGACAGAGTGTACCGGGACAGGAACCGCCTGGGCTCCCCCCACCGCCGGCCCCTCTCCGTGGATAAACATGGAAGACAGATATCCTTTGGGGCAGGACTCCCAATGACATCACTGCTTCCAGTCCCACAGTTCCCTCCTTCCTCCTTCACCTCCTCACCTGGGCCAGTCGTTCCCGTCCCTGTCGGTGTCACCTCTTCTCCTGAGCTGTGGCCTGGGCTAGAAGTACCTAAAGGGAGTGTTTCCCTTTCCCTGTTTCCTCAGCTCTGAGTGGGGATGATCCTGCACACAGAGCTGGGGGGGATTGGGATCCTTTGCTGGGTTGGTGGCAGCCAGCAAGGGCTTCCCTGGGGGCAAATCCTGCCCAATTCTGCAGCCTCCTGTGATGGGGTCACTGCCATCGTCTCCCTGGACCTGTGCCAAGCTTTTGGCAGTGTCCCACGTGATATCCTTGCCTCCAAACTGGAGAGTCATGGATGTGATGGATGGCCCTGTCAGTGGGTAAGGAATTCCCTGGATGGCCACGCTCCCAGAGCTGCAGTCGGTGGCTCAGTGGGACCAGCAGTGGGTGTCTCCCTCGGGGTTTTGGGGTGTTCCACGTCTTTGTTGGTGACATGGGCAGGGGCATCGAGGGCACCCTCCACAAATTCACCAGCTTTGTGGCCCCCAGCATGAGAAGGACACAGATCATCTGTTTCCAACCCAAACCATTCCCTGGTTCTCTGAAAAGTCCCGCCCGGCTCAGGGAAGCAGAATTCCCCTTTGGATCCGAGTAAATCCAGCCCGGGATAATCTTTGCAGTTGGTTGTGCATTTGATTGCAGGTTGATTCATCCCCTTGGCATTTGCCCAGCGATGTTTCTTCTTGCCACGTGGGAACACCAATTAGCTGATTATTCCTGACGGCCTTAAAATGTGCCACCGTGGGGTTGGGTTGATGGGGCTGGAGGGGATGTGGGAATGGGGGAGTAGGGGGTGGTGGCTGCCCAGGGAGCAGTTGGATCTGCAGGAAAGGAGGATGATTCTCTTGCTGCTCAAACATCACAACAATCCACGTAATCCTTTGGTTGGAGTGTTTTTAAAGTTCCCCTCGGGGCGTCTGCTCGCTTTTCTCCCTGGAGCTCGGTGCCTTCTGACGGGCTAATTGGAATTATTCCTAGGAAAAGATTTCCAGTGGGCCTCCTGCTTCAGTGAGGAAGTGCTGTTGTTCCCCTTAACTCTGGGATCACGTGGACAGCTGTCCCTATGGAACAGTGTACCTGTCCCCTCCGTCGGACACCAGCTGGAGAAGGTTGGTGGCACCTCGGGCGCGTGTTCGGGCTGTTCCCTGACCCTGCAGCACCTCCACACCTTCACCATTCCCCCCAGCACGAGCTGGGGTGCCTTTCTCAACCCAGAAATGGGGTTTTCCTTTGCTTATGCTCCTTGTGGATGACCCTCTTTGAAATTAAGGTGTGTCAGCTTTTCCAAGGTCAGCCTCGATATTCCAAGGCACAGCCCGGAGTTGTTGAGTTGTGACTTGTTGCCCTGCATTCACAGCTGAGGGCTGGTTCATCACCAGAGGTGTGATGCCCATGGACATTCCCATTTCCACAGTGTCCCTGCATCCCAAACCTCTCATTTTCCCTCCCTGCCAAACAGGGACAGTTGGTTTTCAAACTGTAACCAAAGTCTGTATAAACAGCTTTCTGCTCAGAAAGGGCATTATTTGATCCTGCATGACCTTAACAAAGCTGAGGAAATTCTTTTCTGACGAGGGCAATCAAATTATCCTGTATCCCTCTCAATCCCATTATTGAAACAATGGCACTTCAAATTTGTCCTGCAAATTGATTGTTTCACGAGGAAATTGTCCCTGGGATGTGCCATATGTAGATTTTTGGTTTTTAATGCAGAGTGTTCAGGTTTTACTGAGCTGGTTGCCTTGATCTGAGAGATTTAAATTCTTTTATTTAGAGCAACTGGCAATAAAAATATCGTGGGTTTTACCTTTTTTTTTGTTTTGTTTTCAGGACAAATTCTGATTCTGCCTTGCACCAGAGCACCATGACTCCAGCTCAGCAGGAATCCTTCTCTGGAGGGTCCCAGGACATGCAGCAGAAAAGAGGTAAACAGGGAAAAATGGATACAGGTATTTCTGCCATCCAGAGCATTCCCATGATCTCCCAGGGGGGATTGGGAAACGCGGATCTGCTGCTGCTCCCTGGATCCATGACACTGGAACCAGAGTGAGGGATCATAATGACCTTTGTGGGGGCTGAAATCCAGAGAAAAATGGTACAAAACTAAGTGAGAACATTCCCCTGAGCCCCAAATGGTGTTATTTTGACCCTTCTCCCTGGGCTGGTGAGTGCTCCCAGTGCCACCAAAGGTTTGGAGTCCCTTCCAGAGCCAGCACAGGGATCCCAGCGGTTCACTCAGGGATACAACACCGGGAGGGAGCGAGGCTTCCCCAGGGAACATCCCCTGGGAGGCAGCACTTCCCAACAGCACTGAGGACATTCCCAGCTCCAGGCTGGAGCACCACACTTCTGGTGCCCTCTGCTGGGCCCTGAGCCTGCTCCAGCTCGGGAGACACGGCAGCCCTTGAGCATCCCAAAGGTCTTTTCCAGCCTTAACAATCCCCTGGTTCTGTGGGAAGCTCTGGAGTCTCTGTGGGGAAGTTTAATCCTTCAACAAGGATGAACATGCAGCACAAACTGGCTGTGCTGTGGCTCTTCTGTGTGCTCCTGGAGCTGGAAAACATGGAAAAATGGTCCTGTTCAACAGTATTCCCTAAATATGGGTTTGTGGCTGCCGGTGTGAAACGTTCCTGTGGATTCATCTCTCCCTCTGGGCTCCTTCTGGTGGTTCTTTGTCACCTTGCAGTTGCTTGTTTGAACCAAAAAATGGCCTTGGAATGTGGAGAAGCAGCAGCTTTATCGTGTTTCTCTCTCCCAGGGGGGATGGATTGGATTGTTCCCCCCTGGAATTGTCCTCTTGGCTGCCCATGAGGTGTCCCAGGTGGAAATCACTCGTGCAGAATGCAAAAACCAGGCCCCAAACACTCCCTTCCATTTAGATCCAAATGGAATCCACTTAGATCCATTTAGATCTTTAGCCTTAGCAGACTAAACTGGAGACCAGAAGTCTTTTAAAGTATTATTTTAAAGCTGATAATGTCTCACTGATTAATTAGTTAATTAAACACAATTTTAGTCTCTTCTGCTTCCTGGTGTCTTTGTTTTTTTAATGAGTTTCAAACTCGCTGATAATTCTTCAGCATTTTTCAAATGGTTACATTTCCAGTCTGAAAATGTCTTCCTGAGAAGCTTCATGTTATTGATTATTAATTCTATGATTTTTTTTGTTGTTGTTGTTGTTGTCCTGTTTTAGTTTTGTTGCTGACTGTCCCTGGAATGGAGGAAGGCACCTCAGATGCAGACAAAACCCTCTCCAAGCAAGGCTGGGACACTAAAAAGGTGGGAATTGCACCCTTTGAAATGTAGAAATGTTATTTTCTAAACATATTGAGGTAAATGAATGCTTGAAATGTTGTCACCACTTGAAGAGATTTGAGATTAAATGTTGTGTTTAGAAACAAATCATAAGCAATGGACCAGAAAGGCATTTTTAGGTATTTATGTGTGATTGATTTCATCAGGAGAAAATCTTGAAATTTAAGATTTGTTGGGACAATAAAGCAAAAAAAAGGTGATAAATATCTTCTAAGAGCTTCACAGAGCTCTTGTGCAGAACAGCTCTCCTCTAGAAATGTATCAAATTAAACCTTTTGAATTGAAATATATCCTGAACATTCACTTCCAGCAGTATCTTTGCCTTTAAAACTCTCTTCCTTCTGTGCCTTTAAAACTCCTTTCCTTCTGTGCCTTTAAAAACTCTCTTCCTTCTGTGCCTTTAAAAACTCTCTTCCTTCTCTTTTAGACTGGGTCATCCAGACCTAAATCATGTGAAGTTCCAGGAATCAAGTAAGTCCTGAGCAATTTTTTTTTTCTTCTTTTTTGAAGAGCACTGAGATCTTCCTAAGAAAAAAATATTATATATTGAATAGTGTATATAGAATAGTGTATATTGAATAGTGTATATTGAATATTATATTGAATATTTTATATTGAATAGTGTGTATTGAATAGTGTATATTGAATATTTTATATTGAATAGTGTGTATTGAATAGTGTATATTGAATATTTTATATTGAATATTGTATATTGAATATTTTATATTGAATATTGTATATTGAATAGTGTATATTGAATATTTTATATTGAGTATTTTATATTGAATATTTTATATTGAATAGTGTATATTGAATAGTGTATATTGAATAGTGTATATTGAATAGTGTATATTGAATATTATATATTGAATATTGTATATTAAATATTTTATATTGAATATTGTATATTGAATGTTTTATGTTGAATATTTTATATTGAATATTTTGTATTGAATAGTGTATATTGAATATTTTATATTAAGTATTTTATGTTGAATATTTTATATTGAATATTTTATATTGAATAGTGTATATTGAATATTGTATATTGAATATTGTATATTGAATATCCTTTTGCCTTGGGGTTCCCTGGGAAGCCCTTCCCTGCTCCAGCCCTGCTCTGGATGTGGGACGAGACCCTTTGCGAGCTTTTCTGGCTGTTTGTCCTCCAACACCCAGCCTCACCTCTGGAATTTTCTCTGTAAAAACCCCCTTGGAAAGCTGGAATTTCAACTGAATGTGTCTTTTCTTCCTTTCCCCTCTCTCCCTGACCCAGCATCTTCCCCTCAGCCGACCAGGAGAACACTACAGCCCTGATTCCTGCCACGCACAACACGGGCGGGTCCCTGCCCGACCTGACCAACATCCACTTCCCCTCCCCGCTGCCCACGCCGCTGGATCCCGAGGAATCCACATTCCCAGCCCTCAGCAGCTCCAACAGCACGGGAAATCTTGCTGCCAACCTGACTCACCTGGGCATCAGCACTGCCAGTCAGGGTGAGGTCATCGCTCCCCCCGCCGGGGCTCTTGGCCGGGAGGTGGCACCTGAATTTTGGGGCTGAAACGAGGGAATTTTCATCCTAGGATATTCCTGTTTCTTCTGAGAGTTAATTGCACCTCACTGCTGATTGGCTTTTCTGTAGAAACAGGTTTTATATGTACAAAAAAAAACAAAGTGAGAGAGCTGTGTTTATTATAGGACGTTTCTCTCACGTTCTTGGTACCTAAATCTACCTTTTTGGGTTTCTTTTGAGGGTTTGTTTTCTTTTTGTTTGTGTGTGGGTGGTTTTTTTTGTGGTACTTTTTTTTCCTTTGTTTTATTTTTATTTGTTTTGTTAGGTTTGGGTTTTATTTTGTTTTGGGGTTTTGTTTGAGTTTTTTGGGGTTTTTTGGAGGGGGGGAGTTTTATCTATCTATCTATCTATCTATCTATCTATCTATCTATCTATCTATCTATTTATTTATTAATATCTAAAACAAGAGTTTGATATATTAATTTTAATATATAATACAAGAGTTCCTCTCTTGTATTTAATTGTACTGAACCCCAACAGCCCCTGTGTCATGGGAACATCCTCAGCAGCCCTTTCATTCCCCTCCCTTTAAAATGGCATTTTTTAAACGTTGAGGATTCTCTTGGGGAGAGAACATTGTTTGCTTCCTCTGAAGCCAAATCTTCTCCTTTGGGCAGGCAGGAATAATGTGGAGCCTTTCCAAGGTGTGCTAATTTTTTGTGAGCTTGAACTGCTTTGAGTTCTGAAAACATCCTGAATATTCAGGGCTTTGGGAAATAACTCCAAGTGAACCTGAGCTGTGTTTGTTGGGGTTTTTTAGGACTTTGACAAGATGGGTAATTTGATTTTTAAAACCCCACAAACAAACATTATTTGCCTTGTTGGCAATGTAGAATATTCACAGGGATGGTCATTTCAGGACTAGTTAACTTTATAGGCAATTTATTGATTATTATTTTTGAGATCATTTCACTGGTTTATGCTCCCAATAATTGTGAAGAGGGTTGAATTTTTTTATTGTCAGTGACAGTTGCAGTCTGTTGATTCCTAGAATAGAAATGAGGCATTGTATCCAAAAATACAAGTTGATTTCCTGTGCTGGGCAGGATTCCCTTTCCCACTTGACAATGCTCTCCTATGTTGGGAAAAGGAAATTATTGTAATCAGGTTAATGACTGAGCAGGTAAGTTTGAGAATGAAGCAAGAAGGGGGTTTAACCATTTGAGGGCAGAGTGGCTCAGGGGATTTCAGCATCCTTGAACAAGTTTTTTGGTCTCAAAAGTGGCTGTTCCAGGGATGGGCCGTCACTCCAGCAGAAATCAGGAATTAGACCAGAGTCACTAAATTTTTTGCTGTACCCACATTTAGCAAAGTTATATGGTGCAAAACCCAACTGGTAAGTCTGCAATTGCTCTGAAAAGACATAACAAATTCAAGATATTCCTGCTTCTCTCTGGAGCCCATCCCACAGCTCGGGCACCGCCGTGCTCAGCGTTCCGTACTTTTTCAACTGATTTGTCCAAACTTCCCTCGCTGCTCTTAAGCAGGAAACCTCAGTCAGGCCTTTTTGAACCCTGTGCCCTGCCCAGGCACATCCTGAGCAGCCCTGGCAGAAGGTGGGGCAGCAAACACTCGTGGTGTCCCCTCAGACCTGCCCCTTTGTGCCACCCCAGGGGGTTGGTTCGGCACCGGTTCACGGGCACGTTCCGGGAGGTGATGTTGGGGTTTGCAAACACAGCCTCACGTTTGGAGCCACTCTTGCCTGCTGGCTCCTTGGCAGCCCGGACTTCCTGGCTCCCTGGCATCGTACCTGGAAGCCTGGAACCTTTGCCAAGTGCCTGGGAGCTCTGAGGCTCTCCGTGAATCCCTCCTTTCTGGCGGCTCCGGGAGGAGCAGCTCGCTCGCCCCACTGTCCTGGGATCACTTCCCAGGGTGACTCGGTTGCTCTGGGCTGAGGCAGAAAATAGAGGAGGTTTCTAAACTTCCAGATTTTTGTCTTGATTTGAACAAAATTGGGATATTTCAGTTGTTTGTCCCTACCCCCTGCTAGGTCGTGGCTCTTGGGAGTGGGCTGGATATTTCCTGCGCTGTGCCATTCGAAATGGAGCTCTTCCTGCATAACCAGTTTTTCTTCTGCTTTTTCCATTAAAGAGGTGTTTGCTTTTATAATATCTCAAGTGCCCTCTGATTAGCGTGGCTCCATGATCTGTGGTGTCATTCCCAGAGCCTGAGCCTGTACAAACAGAGCAGAACCTGCTTTTCCCGGGCCCGGGGTGTGTGAGGACGATCCCTGCGGAGCCTGGAAGCGCCGAGGCCGCTCTGCCTCTTCCTCTTCCAAGTCATCTGTGCACGAACCTGGGCCTGGCTTCGGTCCAGGATAAACCACAGGGATCTTCCTCTCATCCTGACGCTCTCGAGCCCGAGCAAATTAATTACAAATCACCCAACGAGCTCCGGGCCCATCGGCCTGGACACGTCCAGCACTTTGTGTGGAGTGCGCTCAGGCTGTTTGCTGGTCACTCAGGCCATTTGTTGGTCACTCAGGCCATCACTGAGGTGATTACCTGTGGTACAATATCAGTAAAGGGTTGCTGTGTTCCTGTTCAAGCCAGTGTGCTCATTCCCAGCAGGAATGACGACGACGCCGGCCCCTTCCCAGCAGCACCGCCCGCCCACCGTGAGCCCCCTGTCCTTGGGCGCGGACTCCAGGCGACCACAGTCCCAGCAAATGTCCCCCACGCTCTCCCCTCTGTCACCCATCACTCAGGTAGGACCTCGTGGCAGGGTTGGAGTTGGTTTCCTCCCAGATCCGTTGTTTTGAGGCTCTGCACAGCCTCAAACTGACAGAGAGGGGGGTTAGGTGGGATAGCGGGAAAAAATTCCCCACTCTGAGGGTGGGGAGGCCCTGGCACAGGTTGGGCAGAGAAGCTGGGGCTGCTCCATCCCTGGAAGTGTTCAAGGCCAGGTTGGATGGGATTTGGAGCAACCTGGGCTGGTGGAAGGTGTCCCTGCCCACAGAACTCCATGATCTTTAAATCCCTTCCCGCCCAAACCATTCTGGGATTCTCTGAATTTCATGTCTCTTGTTCTGTAATTTCCTTCTTTAAAAGTGTTCCTTAATTCAGAGCCTCAAAAAGGGAGATTTTGCTTTCTCTTTTCTAGTACTGTGGTAAAAACCCCCTGTTGGGACAGGTATCAGTGACGGTGTTGTCCCAAAGTCAGCTGTGAAATTTGAAAGACATTTCCCCAGTTCATGAGAAAACCTCGATTAACTTTTTAAACCTGAGTGTGTCTCTGTGACTGCCCTCAGTGATTTCTGAGCTCAAGATTCAACTGGGCTTTTAAAGTGTCTGTTTATTGTACAGACTGTTTATTGTAGTCTGTTTATTGGGGGTGATACTGAGTCTTTTGAATTATAGACTTAGAGGATGGTTTGGGTTGGAAAAGACCTTAAAGCTCATCCAGTTTCACCCCCTGCCATGGGCAGGGACACCTCCCACTAGACCAGGTTTCTGAACTGTGAAAAGCAACGTTTTTAAAATGCAAAATGAGGCTGTTTTGGTTCTCTGAGTGTGAAGGGGAATCCCTCCAGCGTGGCTGATCCTCCTCCTCCTTTCCCAGGCCGTGGCTATGGATGCATTGTCCCTGGAGCAGCAGCTTCCCCCGTACCCCTTTTTCACCCAGACGAGTTCCCAGCAGCAGCAGCAGCCCCCAGTGGCCAGTTCCCTGCCCCAGAACCCCCCGATCCTGCCGAGCTCGGGGCTGCAGAGGGGCCCTCAGCTCCCCCCTCTCTCCGTCACGGTACCTTCCACCATCCCCCAGTCGCCTCCGGGGAGCCAGAGCCAGCCCTCCATGGGGATAGACATCAACTCGGTAAGTTTGGGAGCAGCTTGCCTTGGGAAAAGCTGGCAGGGAGCAGGGCAGGGGCAGGGATCAGCCTGGGCAGCTCAGATCATCCTGAGCCCGTGATGAGCATCATTTCAGGCAGGGTTTGAACGACACGTGGAGTGGAAATTCCTAGAGGAAAATGAGGGTTTGATGTGCTCTCAGAGTGGCCATTTGTCCCTTGCAATTCCAGGTTTGGATTAGAGCAGCTTAAATACATCAGCCTTTATTTTACACCTGGCTGGGCTGTTGCTGTGGGAGATTTTCAGGGTGTTCAAGGTACCCACAGAGCCCACAGAGCCTTGGGAAAAAAAACCTGCCAACAAGCATTTTCCAATCCAAAGAACGTTTGGGAAATGTTATTCCAAAAGTTATCAAGAACCAGATGTTTTCACAGAAACCCTTTGATTTTAAGGAATTTTAGGGCACCCCTTATTACCTTCCAGAATGGGATTTGTGGCTGCCCTCAGTGCCCAGAAGACATGGAGTGTGCCTGGGCATCCATTTATGGGCAGATCCCTTTTCTTGCTCATTTTCCCATGGGCTGTTGGGAAATGTTCTGTCTCAGCAGCTGAAAATCCCAAATGCAGGGAGGGAGGGATGTCCAGCTCCTCCTGCTCCTTCTGCCCCGTGTAGGATCCTGGTTGTCCCACCTGTGGTGTCCTGGCAGTGCTGCAGTGACAGGAGTTGGTTGGAGAAGGAGATCATTGTTTATTGATCTGTCACTGGGTTGTGGGGTTTCCTTTGGGGGTGAAATTTTTGACAGTTTGTGCTGATAAATCCTTCTTGAGAGCAGCTGCTTCCCTTTCAGGACTGGAAGGGGAAGAGGGAAGGACAATCCAGCAGTGGAAAGGATTCCCACTCAAAATATGTCCCAGTGTTTTGGTTCTAATCCTCATGTAGTACCAGTACAGCCAGTTCTGATTTCATCCTTTGCTTTCTGTGTTGCTTTCCTCATCCTAAACCTCTTTATGACCTTAACTTTTAGGGTGCTGTGCTTATATCTTTTAAAGCAACCGAAATAATTCCCAAGCAAACAGATTTAAAGGTAGTTTAACCAAAAAGCTGAGCTGTCACAGCCCCACTGGCAACTTCTACCCAGCTTTTGTAAAGCAGAGTTGAAATTCCTTTGTAGTTTGGGTGGCTGCTTGCAGTCTGCAAGTGGCAGTGCAGAACAGAAGGATATTTTCTAGAGATTTACAGAATTTGGTGTCAAAACCACTGCAAGTGCAGTGTCTTCCCACACTGCAAAGCAGCTGATTAAATTTACTGGATTGCAGGTTTTCCTCAATCATCTTTAATTTGTGAGGAAGTAGAGTGAGGAGAGCTGTGCTGCTGTTGATGTTAATTAGTACAGCATTATTTAAATGCCCTTAATGTTATTAATTTGTTCAAATCTAGGGTTTTGATGATGGAGAGAAAAAGGTAAATCTTTGAAAACACGTCTCAGTGTAAAAGTCACTAATATAAAGCTGCAAAACACAGGGGGAATTCCCAACCAGTGTCCTGGGGTGCAGTGGAGTTTGGGGGGATCCCACCTTGCAGGGGGACACCCCAAACAGGTTTGTCACCTGCCCCTCAATCTTCAGAACACCCCCAGGCTCTTCAGCTCGGGGTAGAGCAGGATCCCAGAGCAGGGTGAGCACACATGTGGGCATGGCAGTGGAACTGAAGAATAAATGACATTCTTTTTGAATTATTCCCAGCTTTCGAGACTTCTTTGCCCTAAATCCTTGGCTGACCTGATTTTTTTATGTTTGTTTTTTTTTTTTAAATTGAGCATAACTGAGCCCAGGGAGGAAATCTCCCCCAGTTGTGCTTGCCCACAGCTCAGACAGCCCCTGCCACGCTGTCCCCTGAGCTCTCTCCCTTTTTGGGGCGTTATCCACGGTAATCCTGCCTTCCTCCACAGCCCAGACTGCTGAAGAGGGTGGTTCCTCCCCGCTGGATTTGCCAGGAGTGTGTGATTTTTGCAGGCCTCCCTCAGTGCCACGCTGTTTAACTCTGTGTCCTTTGTAGGCCTCACTCCAGCAGTACCGCAGTAATGCTGGCTCCCCAGCCAACCAGTCTCCCACCTCTCCTGTCTCCAATCAAGGCTTCTCTCCTGGCAGCTCCCCTCAAGTAAGGGACTCTGTGCTTCCACAGGCCTTGCTTTGTGTGTGTTTTAGCCCAGTCTCTCCATCACTGCCCCGTGGTTGTCTCGCTGTGACTCCGTGTGCTCCTCATGCATCTCCGACGCCTCATCCCGGCTGCACTTCCATTCAGGGCCAGAGGTTTTCAAATAGCTGCTGAATTGCCTTTTTCTTATGGGACAAAGCTGCTGCTTGAAGGACTGGTTTGTGGGGTTTCTTTGGGCTGTTCCATGGACAGAACCTCCAGGGAGAATCCTTTCAATTCCCAGGATCGTGGCGGGGAGCTGATGGGTAAGGTTGGGAGGGCAGAGGGGGACTCCAGTGCCTCCTGGGGCACTAAATCTCCCTGGTGTGGCCAAATCTGTTTGCAGCAGGACCTTCTTAATGTGGGAACACACCCTGTGAAGGAAAACACTGGAGAAAATGCTCCCCAAATAAGCAGCTGTCCCTTGTGGCTGGCAAGGAATGGGTTACCACTCTCTGCCTTGCCTGCCAGCTGGTTTTCCTTCCTCTGTGTGTATCTGCTCACAGATCCACGTGTCCCATATGGAAGTCATAGCCTGGGGGGGGTGTGTGATCCTCTGAAGGTGGATTTTTACCTGCCAGCAGCAAGAAGTTAAAAACAAGCAGGGTTTGGGAGTGCCTCAGTGTAAGAAAGTGCATTTTTCCATACTGGTGCTGCTGGAATAGCTGCCCTGCAGAATCCCACCTGCAGAAACAAGGTGCAGGGAGTTCTTCCAGAGCACCCCAGGAGTCTGAAAATACATTTTCTGTCCCATCATTTAACGTTGAAGGCTGTAAGGAGGATCCTTTCTGAGTCAGTGTTGCCCCTTCATGGTTCCAAAGCAGAAACTCCCTCTCTCCTGAGCCAGGCTCAGGTCACTGGTAAGCTCAGACCTAGAGCTGAGTGTCAGGACTGACTGGATTTCCTCAAGCCTGGCTTAATTGCTTCTTAGCCTCTCTCTTCTTCTGCTTCTGTGAGTTCTGCTTTGTCCTTGTGTGGCTCCAAACCCCACATTTAACCCTGGGGGTCTCCCATGGGGCAGAGCTGCTGCCACTGCTGCTGCAAACTCAGTTCTCACGTGGGCAGCACATCCAATTTGGATTTTTAGGTTGATTTTCTTTCCCCCTTGACATCTCCATAACTCTGTCTTGGTTTAGTTCCCAGACTTGTTGCCTCTGGTCGGTGCAAAGTGCAACAAGTGGGACACACACTGGGCTGTAATTTTTCCTGCTGGGGCTGTTTTATCCTATAAAATCTTCCTTAGGTTTTGCTCTTTTCAAGTGAGACACCACAACTCTGAGAGCAAGGAAGGGGATTTATTGATACTCTAGTACTGGCCTCTTAAATACCCACAGAATCCTTTCTTTTTCCTAAATTAAAACCAAGATGGCTTTACTGTCTCCAGCAATGACTGGTGATGGTCAGAAATATTTAAAGGTGGAGAGAAGCAATGGGGGAAGAGAAACCAGTTTGGAGGGAAGATTGGGGTTGGTTGTGGCAGCTCCCAGGTGCCAGGATCCTTTAACCTGCCCAGAGGGAAGGCAGAACCCTTCCAAGCAGGAGAATATTCCCGTTGTGGAAGAGCTGGTCTTCCTTCCTGTGAGTATCTCCTCACACATCCACGTGTCCTGTGTGGAAGTCACAGTTTGGGGATCCTCTGAAGGGGGACTTTTACCTGCCAGCCGCAGGAAATTAAACCCAAGCTGGGTTTGGGGGTGCCCCAGTGTAAGGGAACGAGTGTAAGGAGTGGGATGAAGTAGGTGCTGCTCTTTCTCCCAGGAATTTTGGGTTCCACCCTTCTGATGTTACGAGGGGAATCCTTTAAACCCCGAACCCCGGGTTTTCCTTCGGATCACACCTGGTTCATTCACCTGAGCTTCTCCTTCATCTTCCCACCTCTCCAAATCCTTTGCTCCTGTGTTCCAGCAGTGTGTGTGTGTGTGTGTGTGTGTCCAGCCAGGGACTGGAAAGCTCTGCCTGCAGCCCCAGCTCTGTGTTTGCATGGCTTCCCATCCCCAACGCCTCAGTTCCTCCTCCTCTGCCCTCCCCTCACCCCCAGCATCCTGCTCCTGCTCCCAAACCCTCCTGCTCTAGTGCCTCTGACCTGGAGAACGTGGTAGGTATTTTTGGAGTGGCTCATTCCAGCCAGGGGGCTGGTTTTTCCTTGCAGTGCCCACGGCATTAACCCCGGGGGATCCCCTGCAGGCAGAACCCTCGGCCCAGCGTTCCCGCTGTTCTTCCCGGAGCTGTGGATAAGTTATTCCAAGGCTCTGAAGTGTTGAAACAATGACATTTCCAGCGGGTTTCCCTTGGGAATTTCAGTGCTTGCAGCTGTAGTATCTGAGCACACTTCACACGAGGAGCAAATCCAGTGTTTTGTTAGGAGTTACTGACCCGGACTTGCACAGACACGGCCTTGCTCTCCTGTTGATTGTTTTTCACCTTCCCCAGAGTTTTTTAGGATGGGAACGGTGCTTAGTGAAACACAGAGGTTTTAGGGTTTGCCCTGCACTTCTGGAAAGCTCCTGGGAAATGAAAGGACAGGGGTTTAAAGGGAAAAAAATACCTCGATCCTCTTTGGAGCTCTCGGATAGCAACTGGATTTCTGGTGCTGCTCTTGCTTCACGTCGAGCCGGTGACATCCCAAAATTCAGCTTTGTCCTTAGAAGTGATTATAACCCAGAGGTTGGATTTGATGATCTCAGAGGCCTTTTCCAACCTCATTGATCCCCTGACCCCACAGTGCTGGTGCTGTTCCTGCCACTCCATCGCAGAGTTCTGGTCCTGATCCACTCGCCTGAGCGAGCTCTGGGTTCTGACTCCGGGTTTTTCAGGAGTAACAGATGGAGCAGGTTGGATAAGATGGAATTGGGATAGTTGATCCAGGCATGACAGGGCAGCAAATAAGGGCTCAGTGGGTTAAAACCCCCAAATTTTTCTTGAAATAAATTGATTTAAGTAGTGCTTTGCTTTTTCTCTTATCAGCTCTAACGTGGCTCTTGTGGTTGTTTGATCTCTTCTGGTGTTTGATCCCTTCTGCTGTTTGATCCCTTTGGATGTTTGATCCCTTCAGGTGTTTGTTCCCATCCTGCTCAGGTTTTTAAGGAGGAAATTTGTAGCCTTCTGCTTTTAACATGTAAATAAAATAAATCAGCAGTTGAATTTCCACCTCAGGACTGAGACAATCTCTCCACGCAAATTATCTTTAATAGACATTCTCCTTGCCAATAGATGGATTTTTTTTTCCAGCTGGAATGTCAGAGTTTGTAAATTTTAGAGAAGTGATCTCTGACTTCTTTTCTATCTGGCATTTTTTTGGGGGGACAGTATTCCATAGTATTAAATCACTGTCCTCACGTTCTCAGTCACCTTTCAAACAACTGATGAATTCTTGGACACTTTTAGAACAGTTTATGAATTTTTGGTCACCCTTAGAATAATTTATGAATTTTTGGTCACCCTTAGAATAATTTATGAATTTTTGGTCACCTTTAGAACAACTGATGAATTCTTAGACACTTTTAGAACAATTTATGAATTCTTGGACACTTTTAGAACAATTTATGAATTCTTGATCACCCTTAGAATCATTGATGAATCCTTGGTCACCTTTAATTGATGAATCCTTGGTCACCTTTAATTGATGAATTCTTGGTCACCTTTAATTGATGAATCCTTGGTCACCTTTAGAATAATTGATGAATTCTTGGTGACCTTTAGAACAATCAGTGAATTCTTGGTCACTTTTAATTGATGAATTTTGGTCACTTTTAGAACAATTGATGAATTTTGGTCACTTTTAGAACAATTGATGAATTCTTGGACACTTTTAGAACACTTGGTGAATTCTCGGTCACCCTTAAAATAATGTATGAATTCTTGGTCACCTTTAATTGATGAATTCTTGGTCACCTTTAATTGATGAATCCTTGATCACTTTTAATTGATGAATTCTTGGTCACCTTTAGAACAACTGATAAGTGATGGACAATTATGCTAAACCCTTGTGGTGCTGGAGGGGACGGTGACTTTAGGAAGGCTGAGGAATTCCTCCTGGAATTCTTGCCCATCCCACGCTTCCCTGGGCTTCCTCCTCACCTCTCCTGCTCCTGTAAAATGACTTTAACCCACGCCTCTTGTCCTTGCAGCCCCAGCCCAGCCCCACCTGGGCTCTCTTCGATGCCCCAGTGTGACATTTCTCCCCCCAAATCCCCCAAAAACCCCAAGCCCCCGAGTTAACTCTGTGCCTCCCCGTGTGTGTGTGTCCATAACCCCCGAGTTCTCCGTGTTGTCCGTGCTCAGGGAGGAGCTGCTGGGGTTCCCTGCCTGTGCCAGGGCATTCCTGCTGCTCCCTGGATGTCCTGGAGCTCCGCTGGTGCCGGAGGAGCCGTGGGGGGTTTGCGCCATAAAGCCTCTTGTTTTGTTTTCAGCATTCTTCCATGCTGGGCAGTGTTTTTGGGGACTCCTATTATGAGCAGCAGATGACAGCTAGGCAGGCTAATGCCCTCTCCCACCAGGTGAGCAAATTCATCTCGGCCCCAGCGGCCTCTTCCACCTTCAAATTAAGATCAATTAATTCCTGATTATTCTGTGTCGCAGCACGTTCTGTCCACGTGGAGTTTTCCTTCTGTTCTTTTTGGTTTCTGACACTCAGGAGTTTCTTTTTTTTGTTTGTTTGGTTTCTCCCCCCCCCTTTTCCTCCCCCTCGCCCCTCGTAGCTGCAGGTGTTTGTAAAGTTGTTCCTCCAAACTTTGCATTGAAAAGGAATAAAAATCGATTAAAACAATTTAAATGGCCAAGATTTAAAAATAAAAATGATAAAAATCGACATTTTCAAAGTGGAAAAAATTTAAACTGTGAGATTTTTTAGAAAGTGAAAAAAATTTTTTTTTTAAAAAAATCCATTTTAAAAAAAGAAAAAGTGAAAAGAAATTTTAAAACTGTGAGAATTTTTAGAAAGGAAAAATAATGAAATTTTTTTTTAAAAAATACATTTTAAAAAAAGAAAAAGAGTGAAAAGAAATTTTGAAACTATGAGAATTTTTAGAAAGGAAAAATAATGAAATTTTTTTTAAAAAAATTTTCCATTTTTAGAAAGGAAAAATAATGAAAAAAAGTGAAAAGAAATTTTGAAACTGAGAATTTTTAGAAAGGAAAAATAATGAAATTTTTTTTAAAAAAAATCAATTTTAAAAAAAGAAAAAGAGCGAAAAGAAATTTTGAAACAATGAGAATTTTTAGAAAGGAAAAATAATGAAATTTTTTTAAAAAAAATCTGTCCTAAGAAAAAGAGTGAAAAGAAATTTTGAAAACAATGAAAAGTTTTGAAAAGGGGAAATAATGAAAAGAAATTTTTTTTCAGAAAAAATCCATTTTAAAAAAGAAAAAGAGTGAAAAGAAATTTTGAAATGATGAAAATTTTCCAAAAGGAAAAATAATTAAATTTTTTTTAAAAAAATCCGTTTTAAAAAAGAAAAAGAGTGAAGAGAAATTTTGAAAACAATGAAAATTTTTAAAAAGGAAAAATAATTAAATCTGAAAGAGGAAAAAAGAACAGAAAGTAAATTTGAAAATAAATTTGAAAAGGGCCAAAAAAAAAATTTTTTTAAGTAGTGAAAATAATTTTTGAATAATTTTGAATCCTGAAAATTTATGAACATAATGCAAATATAAACATAATGCAAATATAAACATAATGAAAATATAAACATAATGCAAAATTAAAATAATGGAAAGCCCTGTTTGAAGTTGCCCATCTCTGGCCACAGCTGCAACTGGGAAAGGGTTCACTTGGAGGTGGGAACAAAACTGACTCCTGAATTTGCAAATAACCCACTCCTGGGGCCCAAAAATTGCTCTTGGTTTGGCCAAGCAGGGCATGGATTGAGTAAATGATGGAATAACTAACCTGGGCTGTGTTCCCAGAGGGAATGCTGGTGGGCAGAGCCCTCAGGCAGAGCGTGGATTCCATTTATTTCCCATCAAAAGCTCCCTTTGGTTTCGTTCTTCCAACACCCCCCGCCCCAGTTTGCTTTTCCCATCCCTCCTCCCCCCCTCCTCCGAATTGGGCAGGACACATTCCGGAAAGCTCCGTGCAAACAGCCCCTCTTTTGAGCAGGGGAAGCTAAAGATGAATTTGTTTGCCTGTCTCTCTCTCTCTCTCTCTCACGTCACGTCCCGTCCTCGAGCCTTGTCGAGTCGTTTGGCCGCAATTCCCGAGGGCCGGGAGTGACACTTCCCTTTGTGCCCTTGGTGTGCAGCTGGAGCAGTTCAACATGATCGAGAACGCCATCAGCTCCAACAGCCTCTACAGCCCCTGCTCCACCCTCAACTACTCCCAGGCTGCCATGATGGGACTGACGGGCAGCCACGGCAGCCTCCAGGACTCGCAGCAACTCAACTACTCCAGCCACGGGAACATCCCCAACATCATCCTGACAGGTACAGCTCGGCCTGGAATGTCATCCTGCTGAAGCTGGGGAGAAGGGAGAGGGTGATCCTGCTCTGCTCCGGGCTGGAGCGGCCTCACCTCGAGTCCTGAGGGCTCTTTGGACTCCACGAGGATCTCAAGCTGCTGGAGGATTCCAGAGGAGGGACAGGGAGCTGGGAAGGGGCTGAGGAGCAGCTGAGGGCACTGGGCTGGTTCAGCTGGAGCTGAGGGGAGACTCCTGGGGGGGCTGCGGCTTCTCCTGAGGGGCAGCTCCGAGCTCTGCTCTCTGTGAGCAGGGACAGGACCCAGGGAAGGGCTGGAGCTGTGCCAGGGGGCTTGGGATGGATCTCAGGACAAGGTTCTTCCCCCAGAGGGTGGTTGGGCACTGCCCAGGCTCCCCAGGGCAGTGGGCACAGCCCCAAGGCTGCCAGAGCTCCAGGAGGGTTTGGACAACGCTCTGAGGAACAGGGTGGGATTGTTGGGGTGTCTGGGCAGGGCCAGGAGCTGGACTGGATGGTCCTTGAGGGTCCCTTCCAGCTCAGGATATTCCATGATTCCATGATCCAGGTTTCCTTCAGCACAGAGATCACCTGTCCCATGGGCAGAGTGAAGAGGGAACGTGGGACAGGCTCAGGTCAGAGTGTCACATATGGTGGTGAATCTGGTCACAGTTGGATTTTGGAAACAATCCCTGCACAGGGACACAGGGACAACTGTTGGCTCAGTCTGTGCTGCAGCCAGGCATTGCTGTTTGGAATCATGGAAATTAAGGTTGTTCCTCCTAAACTCGAGGGAGAGGAAAGAGACACCAGACATGCAGGCAGGAATTTTGCTTTGTGTTTGGTCGTTCTGATGGTTTGGGGAAGCTGTGAGGAGCTTGTAATTCATCCAGATGGGAAGGAAGGTGGATATCCCTCATGTGAGGAGGATGGTCCTGGTGTGATGAGATTGTCCCTCGTGGGATGAGGATGCTCCTTGTGTGATGAGGATGGTCCTGGTGTGATGAAGATGCTCCTTGTGGGATGAGGATGGTCCTGGTGTGATGAGGATGCTCCTTGTGGGATGAGGATGTCCCTCATGTGAGGAGGATGTCCCTGGTGTGATGAGGATGTCCCTCCTTTCATGAGGATGTCCCTGGTGTGATGAGGATGCTCCTTGTGGGATGAGGATGTCCCTGATGTGATGAGGATGTCCCTCCTGTCATGAGGATGTCCCTGGTGTGATGAGGATGCCCCTGGTGTGATGAGTGTGTTCTCCATCTGAGCTTCAGCCTTAGCTCAGTCAATAACTCAGGGCTTTGGAGCTGTTTGATGGGTTGCTTGCCTGGTGGGTGTGTGTTTGGGAAGCCCTGGTGACACGTCTCCATTCTCCTCCCCGCAGTGACAGGAGAATCTCCCCCCAGCCTATCAAAAGAACTGACCAGCTCTCTGGCGGGAGTGGGGGACGTCAGCTTCGACACGGATTCCCAGTTCCCCCTGGATGAACTCAAAATTGACCCCTTGACCTTGGATGGACTGCACATGCTCAACGACCCCGACATGGTCCTCACCGACCC